CCAGACCTTGTAAATTGAACATCAGCATTTTTCTTCTGGATAATATTATCAGCATCCATGTTATTATTAATAAATATTAAATATAGAGACATAAAAATGTTTCTGAAAAAGCCAACTGGGGGCTCATATATGCATGACACATTCTATTTAACTTTATTTTTTCTTCCTTTAAATTTTACACTAGATTTTGAAGTGTTTCAGAACTCCTAGGAATTTACTAGTAATTGGAAATGTCATTACTACAGCATTTAACACTAGTTTGTTTTTAATTTAAATTACTAAACCAATAATTTAACCCAACTCTAGTCTGTATTACAGGGTTAAAAATTTATACCTGCCTCACAGGCCTGTACCATGAGAAAAGCCAGATGAAGGAGGAGATATGCAAAGTGGCTCTTTAATTAAGGACTCACAGATCAAAGAGAGCTTCTTGGATTGCGTAGCTGGCTTCACTGCGATACACCAGGAAAAACAGGTTTCATATTTCTGACTGTTTACAGCAACAACAGTGATGCTTTATCAGGAAGGAGGTCTGGTGACTAATAAAATTTTTTTCCAATTTCACATCTTCTGTTCTCTCTAATGCTTGTATTTATTTAGCATATCATAGAATCAAAGAATTGTTTGGGTCAGAAAGAACCTTAAAAAAGCATTGAGTTCCAGCCCTCCTGCCATGGGCAAGGACACCTTTCACCGGGTTACTCAGGGCCTCATCCAGCCTGGTCATGGACACTTCCAGGAATGGTTCATCCACAGCTTCTCTTGTCAACCTGTTCTTTACAAAGAACCTCTTTTCCAACAGCACCTACGTGAGTGGGTATCTTTACCACTGTTTTACTCAAGTAGCATCTTGGCCAGAAGGAAATGCAAATTGCCTGGAACTATTTTAATTCAGGATTTCAACAGAGGTCCATCCTCCCCGCTAAAATTGTCTTGTAAATGTCTTTTTTGAGCTTGGGAAAATGAATGAGACATTCCTCATTTTGCTTTTGGCCATATTCACTAGCAGGCAGTTGTTTGCTTTACTTCAGGCCTCATCCATTTTCCACTGAAGTCTGCGAAAAGGCTCTCACTGCTTTTTAGTTACCAGAGCTGGTCCTAACATGCTGCCAAAATTACAGAAACAGAGGTAGAACATTTGTGACCCCAGTCAGTAAGCGTGCCTTCAGGCATGGAGTTTGTACACAAACCCATTATTTACAGGGGTTGGATCAGTGATTTTTAAATTCCTGCTACCCACTACAGAGATACTGACACCATGCCGAGTATTTTATGCCAGGCCTGCATAAGGCCCTAACAGAGTGACAGGTATCCAAACCCATACCCAATTCTTTATTTGGCTCACACTACAGGCTGGCAGCTGATATAAAGGAATAACTTCAAATGGCAGTAAAATTCTGAACAGCTGCCATGACTGTTTAATATAGGCAAATATTCTTACTTGGACTTGGTGTTTTTTCTGTAAACTGACTTTTGTTTTTTACAGATTTTTTGGGGTTTTTTTTGTTTTTGTTTTTTACAGATTTTCTGTAAAATCTGCAGGCATATTCAAATCTTCATGATATTTGAAATTATCATGCTCCATCTACAGTCTTGGTTTTTTACTAAATTGAAGGCATATAATTACTGAAAGAGTTTCTGTTTTCAAATACAGATTACAGAATGTTACAGATCATAGAATTTAACAAATATATCAAATTAATTTGATGTTTACAGGAACCTTATGAAAATGTTAATGAGTCTAGTAAAGCTGTTAGTTTTTGAACATAATATTTGAATGGGTAGGAGTGCCAGAGGCTGGAAAAGGCTGGTGCAAACTGACTTTTGGATTAAATAGCAACAGTTACAAGACCTCTGCTTGAAGGGCATTCTTCATGGTCCATGTGCACAAACAATGCTAAAGGCTTTAGTGACCACAATTTCAAGAAAGAACTTTGTATATGCACTAAAATGTTACTTTTTTACTGGGGTCTAAATACCATCCAGATCCTGCCCACTGTAGGTAAAGGGAAAGCAAGGACTAGAGCTTCCCAACTCCATCCATGTCTGACTCCACAGCTTCTGCCTCAGGAGTATACCTGGCTTGAGAGGTAGGAGAGATCAGGTCTTCCTGCTATACAGCACCAGCTTCCAAAACATGCACTGTCTCAGTACATTTACTTTAGGTAGAAGTCATCAGACAAAGGTCTGTGAGCTGTCTCTGTCCACAGTTCTTAAGAAACAAGCTAACTTTGCAGGATTTAAATGAGAATGACAGCACTAAAACTTGTTTGTAGATTTAAGCCTTGATTAATTGATAATTTCCTCATCTATGACCAACGGTCTTGGATCACCCTTTGAGACTTCAGTCTGCTGCTTCCATCCAAACATAAAAATGAAAGCTCGTTGGAGTCAGTAAATCTGTTTTTGCCCTTTAAAGTTAATGAATTCATCACAGTGAGGATTGCAGAGTGCTTTGCAATTAGCTTCTTCTACAAGTAGCAACATGAAGGTATGTGATTGTCTTTGGCACCACTGCAGGGTGTGGCTCTTCCACAGTATGAAGGGTTGGTGTGTTGTAACTGCTACTGGACTGCATCTTGTGAAGGCTGTTCAGAATTATTATTTTCTTTGCAAACTCTGGAATTGATGAGCTTTTCCAGAAAACACACCTCCCAAGTTTATTTCCTTTTAAATGTGCTAACTGCCCCGCTACTGAGTGATGAAGTTGAGAGCTTCTAGAGATTAAATATAATGTCCTGTGGATTTATGCCGATGTCCACCTACTATAGGTCTGGCCTAAAAGGATAGTTATTCCTATGTAGTTAGGTTCCTATTCCTGCCTTTTTTTTTTAAGTCTCATTTCCTTAATTATTTTGTTATTCTCTACTCAAAATCTCAATGACTAAGTCTCTACCACCCTACATCGAGTGCATGTAGGTGCAGCCAGAACACAGCTGCGTATTCTTTTTTTCCTCTGAAAGGATGGTTAAATATTATCTGTAGTTTATCTAGAATTCTCTGATATACCAGAAAATATATACACTATATATAAAAAGTACACTGACTGCCCATTCAGAGGTAGCTATAATTCATTGTGATGTAGGAGGTGAATGCAACCTCAAGAAATCCTGATTGATATCTTTCTGGTCTTCACTTTCATGCAGTGTGCTGTCAGTCTATTTAGGTTAACTATCCAGCCAAAACTCTACATCTTTATGGCAAAGACTGTCTTATAGTTAGATTGAAACATGCTTTGGTGAAACAGATTTTTTTAGTGATTTGCCAGTCAGGAAAAATATATTTATGAAACAGTGGGAAATGAACCAAGTTAAACAAAAATAGAATTCTCTTTGGTTAGATTTTATTTCCATCTTCCTGTTATGTGTGAAACCATTTAGCCTAGAAAAGGTGAAAGCATGCATTGAATATAGGAAGCAAGTATACATCTTATTAATTTGAAGAGGAATTTTGATTTACTCCTGAATTTCTGGGAAATTCAATTTTTCAGTTATTAAATTACACCTTGTAAGATGTCTACAATGTGTAGCTCACAGGCTTAGATATTAGAACACAATCCATGAAGCTACTACTACTAACACCACTATATTTAGCAAAAAAACCTCCCAACTTTTCATTTGCACAGCTTTCTTCTTACATAGGCAAGGAAACAGTCTAAATGAGGGAATATAAACTAGTAAATGAACATCTTAAAAATCTAACCTTTTATTTGTTTGGAAACAAAAATTCAAACTATATTTCATAAGCTAAACTTCGGTTTTTTGAAAATGGATATAGAAGGTGGTATTTGCTTACATAATATCAATCTGTAGTTTGTGGCATTTTAAATACTTGTAATTGTTATTTCATGGCAGGTTAGCTGGAAACACCAAAAATGGTCTAAACTTTGTGATAAATCAGAAATTGTCTCCGTTCTCTGCCCTTTGTTTCTTATTAATGACCTTTCCTCTGAATTTTAAACAGTGCATCTTAGTTAAAGTCTGAAAGAATCTGTCAATTAATATTAGTTTCTTCCAAAAATCAGTCTTTTTTTATGGCATTAAAATAGCTCTAGGTTTTTTTTTCCAGTTGCCAGCAATCCAAATAGTTAAAGATAGTACACAGCAAAACTTCATAAACCAGCAAATATTTCATTGCCTTACAATGAAACCAGTAAATAATCGTAACAGGAGTGATAAATACTCTCTTTAAATTTAAGCACAGCTGGTAAGCATAAACACAGCTGTCTTGAAGAGGTGGATTCTAAGATTAGCACCCTTGTTTTTGGAGTCCTGTTAGTGTCTGCTTTCATATCTGTCTATGAAGGTTCTGCACCCCAAAAACTCTCCCACAGTAGACATGGTCATCATTATGAGGAGCTGGACAGTAGGGAACGTAATTCATGTCCTGCTCCGGGCTACACCTTCAGATACCAGCTAATCCTTTCAATTCTCTTCCCTTAGTAAGCATATATCAGAGATCATTAAAACCAGATGTATTGCCATTATCTGTCATTTAGTAGTTCTTTGCATCCATAGTTTCTACCAGCAGAAAATACTCTTCTTTAAAACTGCTATTATTTGGACAAACTATTGCAAAAAAATTGACATTTAGAGATTACAGTTCATTTTGAAAAAATTCTTCTGATTCTTGGCTGTGTAGCCCTTAAGTATGTTTAGCCACAGAATCTTTGTATTAATTTCTTCTGAAAGGACTTATATAAGATTTAATTCACAGATGCAAATCTGAAAAAGATTAGTATTTGCAGGATTTAAATTACTAGTCACGCTGTCACATTATAGAATCTCTAACATTTTTAGAGAATACAGAATGTTAGCATGTAAACCAAGATTTTATTAAAAAGAAGTAAGCAATAGTTATAATTCCTGTGATTCTGTAATTGTGCAATTCACGTTCACTATTAGCTGTGCATTTTGTATCACAGAGTAGATGAGTTACATTTATAAGTGCAAAAATACTATCAGTTCCAAAACCAAGGCCTACTTTGCCATTGATTTCAGCAGTGGTGGCGTATTTTGGGAATTGACTGCATACACCTTCAGAAAATGTCTGACCTTCCTCTGCAGCCCTTAAGGAAGGGCATACTTCCATCTGCAGATGCTCTCTCAATTACCTCAGGTATGCAGAGATCACAAGGGAAGAGGAAGAACAGCCAAGCTCCCAAGAAACTCCTCTCCTTATACATCAGATGCACCTCCTCACAGCATGTAGCAGGAACCATACTCTTACCCTTCCAGGTGAATGAGGGGGACAAGGAGAATGTGTGTTAGTTTCCCCCTGGTCGCTAACTGGATCTTTTCTGACTGATTGCTTATGCCACACAATAAGAATGTACGCTCTTTTTTTCATGAGGTGTTTTTTCAGTACCTCAGAGCCTTCATATGACAGTCTAAAAGAATCAACAACAACAATGAAGCTGCAATTGTGAAGGTTTGGAAAAATGCCCATATTAGATATTTAATACTATTTTAGCAAATAAGATTAATTTTTTTTTGTATTATCAGCCTCATTTGTGATGGTAGCCTCCAAAAAATTCTAACTGGGAGCAGTGCTTCTCTAAACCTTTTTGAAAACACAATCCCTATGTGTCTTGTGCTTGATTGATGCTCTGCCCTTTCAAGTGCCACCACCTGACAGGTGAAATATATAGAAATCTGAGCTTAAGACTTGTTTTATCAGAGTTTGTTTAGAGTCATAGCCATACTGCTTTGTTTGCCTTCTTAAAAATGTGTGAGGGCAGCCAGAAAAACAGAGGAAATACTGTTTACAGCATCTTTCCTGAGTGCTTTCCTTTTCAAGTACAAGATGGTCTATATTTGATTTTAAATAATCTGCTAGTCTCAGATGAATGTCTTTTCATTCAATCCATTAAAGCAGAGAGGTTTGCAATAACCTTGGCAATCCTCTGAAACCTGACTTCACCCAGCCGTGGCACATCTTGCTAATGCAAATTGCTCATCTGTTTCATTTTGCCATTAAACCTTCCCTTATTGTTATTTTCTTATACAGGACTTCTGTTTTACTGAATAGTAACATCAAATCAGAGAAGCTGCCTATGGCTGGGCTCTATGTAAATAAAAGGAATGAATTCTATGCCATTAATTCACAGTAAGGAATCTAAACTAAGTTTGGACAATGATGGCTCCAATGCAAACACTGCTGGTAAGACTTTAGTAGCAGTTCATTTCTGCATATAGTTAAGTAGTTCTCGTGTGCCTTCAAGCCATTACACTGTTGCATGGGATACATTGTATATGGTAAGAACAAGAGTAGCTTTTCAAACTTAAATTATCCTCAACGGTCCTTCATGTTGTCTCTGCAGTTTCTCATAACAAGACAAGGTGACATGATTTCTCATTGCATCTTCGGTGGCTCAAGGTTCACTTGTGTCTTTGAGGCAAGTTTGCTTTTATTGATACCTCTCCTATGGGTGAATAGCAACAGTGGTTTTTTTACAAACTCCACAATGTCTAAAAATAAACAAAAATTAAAGGAACAAGAATGGAGTGAGCAAGATCAGAGTGGGAGGTGCTTTTTTTGACATGATGTCTTCATTAGAGGTGTAAAGTTAAGGCTCTGGATCTTGGCATTCCTCCTGCCTGCTTTACAGAAACAACCAACCTACAGAATTCCCCCAGCTTAAAAAGGACTTCTCAAACAAATTAGTCTTCACCACACTTGTAAAAGACAAATAATGCCAACACACATAGCACATTCATATGAATATAAAAGGAGTATACTACAATCAACTGCCTGAGATAAGAGTTGCTTATGAGACCTTCAAATAAGTAAGGAGTAACCTTTGAAGTTTGCTCCTGGCTGCTACCAAAGCCTGTCTGGTTAGCTCATCTAATTAAAGCACATCCTTCTTTCTCCTGTTGGCTGGATTTCAGAGGCTGTGTTTTGGCAGAAACCAGGAGATCTGAAGCACTCCTGGTTGCATGAGGCCTTAAGAAACACCTGAAATGCTGAGATGACTGCACACCTTATATAATAGGGGATGACTGAGCCTAGGCCTCTTGTTTGTAGAGAGGATTTTATGTTACTCTTCAATCTGTACTTGAGTTGCTTGATAATCTAACTTGGTAACACTTTCTCTGATATTTTGTCTTTCTCATGGCAAAAGAAAGACATGCAGCTGAAGTAATCATCAGATTCCCTATATGCCACACCTGGATTATGATCACCTCACTGAAAAGCAAATGCCCACTAAGGAGCAGATCATAATAGCCTGTGTCTCACTGTCAAAAGCAAACAAGGACACTTGTGAAGATAAAACAAAGCACCTCTATGAAGGAAGAACAGAAGTATGCCTTGTGCTCAGGTGGGTTTTACCAGATGGTAGTTTTCCAACACGTGTTTAAAAACTAAAGAGGATTTGTTTGTTTGTTTGTTTTTATAACTATATGTTTATCTGGTTGCTTAACTGTCTAAAAAGTTGTCTCACCGGAAATGTCTAACTGGCACCAATTCCAAATATGTGTTCTCCAGGAAATTAGGAAATTCATGTTAAAAAAAAATACCTCTAGAGGAGAACAAAAGTTTAGAAATTCCTAGAATTTCCTACCAAAAAAGAAATCCTGTTTCTGAAAACCAAATATTGCTTGAATGTGTATCTTTGAAGATGTAGTAAATTGCCATTCCTATCTTGGATGAATTCCTCACATAATTTTTTTTTCTGAAACAGCTGAGGCAGTAACCCTGAACAATGCCTTCAAGTAAAGCAGGGCCCTAAAACCTGAGAACTCTGTAGCAGAGTACCAGGAAATTCTGTGGTATGTGTGTGGCTTTTGTGGCATTGTGAGACCCAAAGATTATTAACCACAAGAAGCTTTTGCTTCAGTTGAGCAGAAATCTGTCATTTGGTAGCAGTGTGACAAAATATCTTCTTGTTGTTGTTGAAACATTTTGGTTTCCAGGAATCAGCATTTTCTAATAAAAATGAGGGAAAAAACATTCCACACAGAAGCGTGCTGCTAGAAAATTTCAAATCAGATCATTTTCCTTACAGTACAAACTTAATGAGTAGTGATTTAATGAAAGACACTGCCCTCCCTTCACATTTGCAAGTACTAAGGAAAGACACAGCACAAAGTACATTTTTCTAAGTCTGTATTTAGAAGGATTGGAAATATGAGTAAATTAAAGTTTGGAAAGGCAAAAAAGCAAAAGATAAGTAATATGATGAACACTTTAAAACAAGGAATGGGGTGGTTTTTTTTGTCTCAGTGTTCCCTGAATTTTGTCTGTTACCTGAAAATTTCTCAATAGAGTTAACAGTGGAAGTGGTAGTAGAGACTGAAGAGGTATTTTTATCCTCTTGGCATAGAGGGCATGACAGTAATCATCAGTGACTTCTGTATTCAAAATATTCCACCTGTCATTAATATGAGTGGAGCTGCACTGAAATTTAAATGTTAAGAGGATTTGAGTCAGCATACATGCAGCTTCAGTACCAGTTAAGGCATTCAAGTTACTTCTTTCACTATGTCTTATTTTTCCAGTTCTAGATAAACTGGTCACACAGAAACTGCCATTTCTGATTAACATTTTAAAAGTTAGTATAGAATAAGTGATGTTTGGGCCTTAATGAAGTCTTTAAGGTAATTTCCATGCATTTCAGCACTGACAGGATTTTTAGCCCAAGAATCAAAGGCTAAATCTGAATAAAATATCTACCTTTAAGAGGAAGAAAGAAAATATGTTTTCAGACCTAAATTTTCATATTTTTCCTTTTTCCTGGAAGCCTGACCCAAAAACCTATTTGGAGAATAAGTGGAAAAAATGGTTTGTGTTTGCATCCTCAATTCACAGTGCTGGTCCTGTTGGCCCGCATGCACTAATGGTATGAGTGTAATATTTTGAAAGCCTGGATTCCAGAGGGTTATGACAAATCCGTAAGTTGCGCAGCTACGTCCCCTGTGCTCACAACTGTGAAGTCAAGTTTTATAAATCAGAGGAGCTGTTAATTCTAGGAAGAATTAAATAGATTTGCAAAGAGAAATTGAGACATTTAGAAGCCCCTGGCATCAAACTTACAGTTTAAATAACCATTGCTATCAGATCTGAAAGAGAAATTTGAGTCAGGAGTTCTGACGGTAGTCCCAGCAGCCTCGACTCTTCTTCATCTATTAGCAGTTCAGGAATTTCAATGCATCAGGTCATCCTCATTCCACCTGCAGGGGGCAAGAAGCACATCCCAGTTGCCACAGCATTAGAAAAGGAAGATGACTTATATGATCTAGCCATCTGGGTGCACTTAACCCCATTTCTGCTTCATCTCTGGCAAAAAGTCTTGATGCACATCCCTCAATAGCATGTTTTAGTCTTTAAAAAATAAGAATATTTTAAAAAATAAGAATTCCAATTTCCAACACTGAGAAGTACTCCTTGCAAATCAGGAAAAAATGTAAGATGGAACATCACTGAAGTTAGTTTTAAGTACTTGCATAGTTTTCATACATGATCTGGAAACACTAGAATTTTTTTGGAAGAGACTAATTTATAGGTAATTTATTCCATTGAAGTTTTGCATGCAAGGTGTACATTGCATGTTTTGAAATACATTACTGTTGTAACACTGTGAAGAGGACTCTCCAGATCTTGTTCACTGCTGTTGACAAGCTGTTTACCTTAGTTGCAAGCTGTTATTAGGCTAAAAAAATGCAATCATGTTTTGTATTGCACAGAATTGCATTAAATTGGATTTTGATAATCCCCACACCTCTCTGTAAACACCAGCACAAACACTGTTTTGCCTGGTTATTTTTGTTAGTTTCTCCCAGCAGGAGAGAGAACCCACTAATTGTTGTTTGGTTATTCTTTGCTCAATTCTAACTAACGGTGAGGAGCGTGCACTGCTTCCTGTCTTTGCTCTGTACATTTTAGTACCGGCCATGGCAGTAGAACAGAGGTGCTTTTAAACATCCTGTCGTCTTTGCTATGCAAAACAAAGGCTGTTTTTGTCACTTAGGAACAAGCTATTCCTGCAGACAGAAAAATTTCTCTACATAACACCTACCTGTGATCAACCTCTCTGTCCACTGGGTGACAGCAGCAGCCTGTCTAACATCTGTTAGCTGTGCATCGCGCCACAGAACACGTATCTGGAGAAGATTTAACCACAGAGTTTCTTTTTTTTCTGGTAACACTAGGAACATCGTCTTTCCTCTGGTGGAAAAGTGAGATAAATTAGCAGGAAAACCAAAATGCCGGGAAAAACCCTAAAACATCTTCCAAAACTACTACATGTAGTTTACAAGGCTGAAGGAGACAAAGTGAGAAAATACTCCATAAAATACACAATGAACTGAGGGCCTGTTGTACAAACTCATTAAGAGGACATGCTTTAATATGAATGACCAACAGCTGATGAAAATTATTGTGAACAGCTCTGAGTATCTCAGGTAACAAATTACTGAGATGCAGTTTGATTCTGTCCCATGTTACCTTTTTTGCATTCCCATATGGAAATAATTTATCAGTTTTGAAAGAAAGATCATGATAACATGCAATTTTTCTGGCTATTTAATCCTTAGAACAGCTTACAAACTACTTTTTGAAATAATTTAAAGACATTCTCATATATGGGAAATATTTTAGTTTGTTTTTTTCTGCAGATTTTGTCATTTTTACTTTTACTTTACCTGTAATTCACTGCTACAAAGATTAGACAGCAGTATATGCTCGATTTTAGTCCTCCTCTGATACATATATAAACGAAAGATGCATGAGGAGTAGAAACTAAAACTTAATTAGACTGTCAGCATGGTCTTAATTACTTGTTTTAAAAGCTGAATGGTAAGGGCAAGGTGGCTTTTGCTTCAACAAAGGCTGGTTCTTTTGCTTCAACAAGAAACTAACTGTTGTTTAAGGAAGAATGGCGTTTGTTTTTAGAAGGAATGTGTTAATAGTCCTTCCTATCAACACTCCTAATGTCTCTCAGATGGTAAATAATCAGCCCATGAGCCGACTTCACTTAGTTACAACTCCTATGGCCTTTCAGCTGATGAGTGAACATCCCATACAAATGGAGCTCTCTTTGCTGTTTCCAGGGGGATATTCAAACCATCTTCAAGCAATTCCAGACAGATTCACCCAGCTGTTCCTAGGCTCAGCTGGAGCAGCTTTAACCTACCAAGAGCAGTAGCAGTTAGAACAGTTTCCTAGGACTGGCTTGTTACACTAGACCAAAGCCATACTGCAGGATACCGAGGATAGGGGCACACTAAGAAAACCTGCCTGAAGTAGCAGCTCCAGCTCTCCTGTGTTGTTGCATACAGCACTGACCTACAAATACCAGAAGGATAAGCTGTCAAATGCAACTCTACCAGAAGTCACAAATTGGAAAGGGTCACAGTCATTTCCAGAGGAGCTCTAAAGCAAAGTAATAAATAATATTCAGAAGTTCTGGATTCTAAAATAGGCTATGGTACTTTTCTGTTGGACAACAACACAGGCTCTGCTTAAGATCTGGAACTTGCCTATTGCAGTTTAAAAGTAGTAGTCATAAAGAATGAAGTCACTACATTTAGGGTAGACTACAACTCACCTTTTCTGTATTTCTGAAAAATTTGTCATGTGCCAGAGATGACAAAATTTCAGGTCATGCTTGATTGTCTGGAATGTTCAAAACTTGTTATTGACAGCTCCAGAAGCATTGTGCAATACTCACTAATTGATAATCAGTTGGTGTATGAAATTAGTAGTCTGCTAGTCACTGAGTGCAGAGTAATTTACGTGGGGAAAAAGAATCAGAATTATTCATAAAGACAGCTCTTAACACTGAAGTAAGAAATCTAAGACTCATTCATTGGCAAATCCCTGAAAAGTTTTGATCATTCTTTATAATGCAAGCACAGTGTTAGTCAAAGGGTAAATAAAATATTCTTGAGATTCTGATACACAGCACATGACTGTCTTCACCACATCTCAATAATTGATATAAATATAGAATGGCTGTTTATACAATGAAAGGCTAAATAAGCTCACAAAAGAGGCTAAGATGAGATAAGAGGGATTTATAAAGCAAAAATGGTGTGGCAAAGGGATAAGAAATAATTATTGATTGTTTCTGAATGCACAGACTGATCAGACACAGCAAAGAAGGGATAAACAGCAGATTTCAAACAAAAGGATGTTCTTTTTCTTACAGCACGTCATTAAATTGTGGAACTCTTTGCCACAGGATGTTGTGGAGGCCAAAAGTGTTCAAAATGGAATTAGATACATTCCTGAGGGCTGGCTCTGCTGGCAGCCATGAAAAGCGATGGCTCAGACACAGCTTTTGATTGAGGAAATCCCTCCATTGTTAATCCCCTGATAATTGAAGTCCCCTAAATTGTTAACTGCTTATGGCTGATATCACAAAAAGAAAGATCTTCTTTTAAATGTTGTTTCATTCCTCCTCCAGTTACCAGCCATTCACAGGGACAGGATGGTGGGCAAGTTAAATGAGCCTTTAGTATAATCCTGCACATCTATTTTTATACCAGCATATGCAAGGTTATTGCTTTAATTGGGATAAAATTTTAGGATTAGGGAGGAAAATTCACAGAGTTCATGAGAAGAAAGTTCTTTACCTCTGAAGTCATCCTTGGCAACATATATCAAACAATTTTGTATATATTTTAATTTGTAAAGTCTCGATGAAGCAAAACTAATGTTCCCAGGAAGGGAAGATCTCTCTCAAACTGTGTAAAATATAAAAAACATCCTTAATTTTACATACTTTCTTCTAGAGGCAGATAACTAATTTCCTCTGTTCCTTGGAAATTCCTCAGATGATCAGGAAAACAAACCCTTCAAAATGAAACACAGTTGTCTCTGTGTTTAATGATTTAAAAGGCTACTCTTAGTACACTTAGGACAGAGTCCATCCTTAATTTCCTATAAAATTATTGTTCAGCTAAATAAATACAAGTGAGTTTAAGAGAAGGAATTCATGGCCTCAAAAAGAAAGGAATTAAGTTCAAGTTTTAATGAACATGTTAAGCAAGAAGGAAATGCTGTATGATATTAAACATTTGCCTTTAGACAGCTTTCTATATAGTATCTTGGATGCCTCAAGGAAATGGTTTTACAGAAGCATCACAATAACGTAGTTGCTCCCTGGGGCAGTTGTTTCTCCTGATTGTGGCATGTACTTCCTGCCATATGGACAATCCCACTCTTTCCCCCTGCCCCCCATCTAAAGATCTTCAGCCAGGACTTAATTACCATGCTTTCAAAATGTTAGGGAGCTGTGTGTTTCAGGGGCAGGAGGAAGAAGGGAACCAACATTTCATTTGCAAGAAGTGGCTTTTCAAAAGCACTGTTTGAGGTGCATTAAAATAACCACCAAACACCAAACATTCCTGCACTTTTGTTTCCCATAGGATTTTCATTCCTCTTTTTTCCAAAGTAGATGACTTTTCTTTGTAATTTGCAATTTGGTATTTATGAACTATTTGTGAAGAAACAACAAGGACAACATATGAACCCTACCATAATAAAATACAGTGTGCTTACATGCATACACACATGCAAAACAGTGTTTTAGAAGTTTAAGAATGAACTTCAGCCAAGATACCTCTTTCCCCCATCAGTGCCCTACTGTATGGAACAATGGTTAAATATTGTAAGAGCTGGCTGAGTGGCACTGGCATGAAATGATTACATTTCTAGATGTATAATCACCTCTGGATGTGACAGACTCACCTATAGCAGCACAATTCTCAAAAACTGCATTTTCCAGTTTCTGGAGCATGTCAAACTGACACCATGATGTGATGGAGAGGGGAAAGTGACTTGAGGTCTAATCCATATCCATGGGTCTGGAAATGTGTTCCTGTGCTTGCAGAAAGCAACAAGGGCTGTGAAAGTTACTTACTTAGTGTTCACTTAGTGTATGTACAGATGGATTTGGTCCATTAGTCCCAATTCTCCATTTATCTCAAACAATGACAGAGACCTCTCCAACAAGCAGCAGAGTGCTTGGTTTGTGCCACTGGCAACCTGCTAAGTGTGAAAACCAGGCACAAGCTCACCAAATGTGTGAGGAAGCTAGAAGAGGAAAAATTTAAAGGAAACAAAACAGGAAGAGGAGAAAGTTTGCCCTCAGTAACACCTGTTGCATTTGCCATTGGTTGTGAAACCCATACACACCTATAAACAGGTATCTCTGGGGAAATCAGCCATCCAAGCATAGATGCACAGCCTGGGATGAAGAGTAGGAGAATCCATGGGTTTTGTCCCCCAAGATATGAATATGTACCAGACTCCCATAAAAGATCAGGTGAATCCAGTCAGACCTTAACCAATCCCAAACTTCCCCATTGCAAGCCCGTGTTCTAGCATGCAGGTCTGAGATGGGGAACATAACAAAATTTCATTAAATCCATTGGTAACTTTTCATTGCTGTTCCTATATGAGTCTAGGTTGAAAATATGGAGACAGCATAGTGATAAGGTGCAGTGCACATTTATAACTGGTTGTACAAGCCAAGCTAATTTATCAGCATGAGGATCTTTACAGGTGAAGTTTTCATTACGCTTTTCCCTTGAAAAATAGAGTACTGCCCTGAAAAGGGTGAGGGAAAATTACACCAATTCATTTAATTTCATTTCAACTGATTCTTCAGATCCAAAACTTTATAAAGAAAGGCTGGGTTCCAGAACTGCATTTACTTTCCAGCTTTGCCAGCTTCTTAAGTGCACTCATTGTGAGACAAGTTGAATGCTTTAAGCTGATTCAGCAGCTTATCAATAGCATGGAAGGAATCTGTACCAGTGAACTTGGACTTTTCTAGATTGAAGAGTTGAATGGGAGTCTTCTGAGAATAGAATTCAAAATAGTTTCTGCCATTTTTTGCTGCAGATAATCAAGATGACAGTGCTTTTAGTAATTTTTCTCCAGTAAAAGTAATGTTTAAGAAATAAGCCCAGGATGTGGAATCCTCTATTTATAGAGAACCTAACAATACACACATCAGTTGTTTGTACAGTTTTATTGTTCTTGAAAGGTATTTTGAAAAGGCCAGTCAGGAACTTAGAGGGAAATCTATGCTGCTTCTACTCTTGGTTTCTTTGATTAAGAATGACATTTTGTTTATTTTGTGGTGACAGTGTACTTCTTTGCTTATTAACTGTTGCATTATTCCCTATCTCATTCCAAAGTATTCAGCCAAACAGGCATTAATCAATAACAAATTTTTGTTACTGTCATCCTACTGAATAGGCTTTCATCCTACTGAATTTGGTTTTCAGTTAGGCCTTTAGTTTAGGCAAGCATGTAGTGACAGTTCTTGACTTTCTCCATAGTCTAGAAATAAGCTGGAAAAGTCACCAAGCCTTGACATTTTTATCAGTACAAAATCAACTAAGTCAGTGGCATTACAGAGACAAGAGATGGTACAGTCCTGATGGAGCTGTAGACATCTACAAAACAGACCTTTAGACTTGAATTGATTTTCTAGATTCTTTCACAAGTGCCTGAAGAAAAACAGGCACTTCCACAGTGGAATTTATCTCCTTCCAATGTACAGTGGGAGTAGGTCAGATGAATCACATGCTGGAAATGCCTGTTTCTTTCCTGTGGGATTCAGCCTCAGGTGAGTTGAAATCCACTCTTGCTGGTTTAACTGTTTGTAAAGACTCAGTGATAGAGAAGCCACAATATCTTTACAAAAATATATCTGAATGCTTTATTCTCTTATTGCTTGGCAATTTTTCCTATCTAGGTTTAGTTCCTATAGTTAAAACCTATTCTTTCTTGCTCTGTTTACATAGACATGGAGAACAGACTGTTCTCTCTCTTTCTGTAGTGGGTCATATTTTTATGTCTTTTTCTGTCTCCAGTAATTGTACTCCTGAACTCAATCTTCATGTCTGTATGTTAAACAAGTTCATGTTATGCAACCTTTCTTTACTGGTCATATCTTCTGGAGCTCTGGCCATTCTCCTTGCTTTCCTGCAGATTGATGCTGGTTGATAGGCACTTGGCCATTCCAGCATTGCTGAATTTACAAGTTATACTTTGTATTTCACCGGTTAGATTGCTATTTGCACACCCCATGATGATTAAAAGTTGTATGTCATCATCACCAGCACAGATAATCTATGCTGTGAAAAGGACAGCTCAATTATCTTGTTTGGACATTACCAGCCCAAGAAGGGTGGTACTACAAAACCCAGAGATAAAAAGCTTTCATTAAATGTATTTCAGCTACAGTGATTAAATTTAAATAAACTTCAGCATGAGCAAGCCTTTTCTAATTGAATATCTGAATGTGCATTCACACACACATATGAATTTGTCCAGTTGCCTCTCTAAGGGGCAGTTTAAATCAACAGAACTGTTTTTATGATAAGAGCATGTGAAGTTCGGTAATCCATATGAAATATTCCTCGACAGAAGGAAAAAGGAAATTAACCTCAAGAATGACCGTCTCGGTCAAAAAACGCTAGGGAAAGAGAACTTGTGATAACTTGAAGACAGCCTTAATTGACTCCTTTAGTCAGCTGGAATGATGCAGAAGGGCACATAAGAGGAAAAGTATGGGCTGGGCTGAACTTACAAAACCCCTACTGTGCATTGTTTAATGTCTGTATTTCATATCTCAAAGTTCCCATTCTCCCAAAGGTTCAAAGAAATCAGGATGGAGATACATATACTTATAAAACCAACCCACTGTTGCCAACAATAAAACACTTTTTATTTTGACTTTTTTTGTTGGTTTTTTTTTATGTTCTGACATGTTACTGCACAGAAGTTCAGAATTTCATTAGTATTAAAGTTCATCTCTGACCTTTCACCTTTTTATGTGGAAGAATTAGTCAGGGAGAAAAAAACATTCCTCTTTGCCCTGACTTGCTTATTTTGACTCTCTCAAGAATTTCAGTCTGGGGCTATTTGCCAGAACTATGTTTAGCTCTGAGAGGAGAAAAAAATCTCCCTCCTTCCAAAATGCCACCATACACATTTATCTCTCAGCTTTTACTAAAGACTTGAGGTTTAAAACACTCTGGATTAAATTTATCCCAGTAGGAGTAAAAGCTTTTCTATGCCAGTTTATACTTACTGAGAAAAATTGACCTTGAGAGCTGCTAGCTAATGAACCTTCTTATTTTAAAAGTTCCCAGTGTTTTAGAGGTGAAGAAAGCCAGAAAGGCATCCTGTAGAAGGCAAAATTTTAAAATTTTTATGCCATAAAATGCCAGCCTGTGATAGTTATGTGTTGCAGAATGTAATAAGGATGACAGGAACTTGAAAAACACTGGAAAACTTTATCTGTAACATTTACGTACCATGCAAGCAAAGCGAAGCTTCAAGCATTCTTGAATTTTATGCTTGAAGGCACAAATTTATTGCTTATGGTGGATAGAATAATGAAATTCCTCCGTGTCATAACGTCACAGACCCAACCAGGTGAATTGTAATGGAAAGGGCTACATTCCTCTGACAGCAACGGTGATTGCCAGAGGCAGAGGCAGCCTTCTCATTTATGTTCACTTAGAAAAATTTCAATGCAGTGTACATTCATGTATCGGATCATTTTTGGAACAGAGGTACCTACCCCTTTATCAGTCTCTTCAGTTTGTACATTTATGGACCACATGTATCAGAGAACAGCAGTACAGTTTGCAAAGCCCTCTGTAGGCAATCCCACAGTGGCAGAAGGTTCCTTCCTTATCTGCTCATTATCATTTCCATCGCTAGCCACACTGAAACGCTGTCAGAGCTCCAAATGAAACAACACAACCAGTGTGAACCCTACCACATTTTGGCAGTAGGATAATGGCCATGGTTACACAAAGCCAACATTGGGAGCAGGGTTGGGTGGGGCTTCCTCATCCATGTGAAAGGTTCAGTTGGACAACACTACACGTGAGGACAAATTCCTGGTGTATGGAGCAGAGGTGGTATGCTGGGCTGGAAGTGGCTGGGGGTTTCTTCTCATGTTCTCTGAGCTCCCACCATAGGCAAGAACATGCAGAACTGAGGGAGAATGGTAAGAGAGACAGAGAGTGCTCTGGATGATCTGTGTCATGAAAAACATGACAGGGAAGGGGAGGGAAAGGGAAGTTATGGGAAGCAGGATGAGGCATTATCAAAAAAAAAAAAAAAAAAAGGCAAGGAGAGAAACATAGTACAAGATATGAGGAAGAGAATGAAATAAGAATAGGAAAATCAAGAGTCAGGAAAGTTAGAAGAAATGAGTAAGAATTTGCCTTAAGGGAAAGAACACAGACATAAAAAAGTCCATGTAGCCAGAGAATCAGTAGCTGAAGCCAAGTGCTGGTGTCATTTCCACTTGCTGACGTACACTCAAAACTGTACCCCAAGGACAGCTTATAGGATTCCCTTTGTTACGATGCCGACACAGCTCCCAGCAGTGAATTTAAACAAGAGGACAGAGAAATGAGGACCTTTAATATATTGAGACATGTATTATGTTATGTAACTGTTCATCACTTCCAAATCTGCACTGCTCTGAGTGTTCCTCTCACACAGGTAAATAAAGCTCTTCATAGTAATGAGAATAATGCTACTCAACCAAAAGAAAAATGTTTCAGAGTTGAGTAAAACAATACTATAATATTTTTTGCCTATAAAACTGAAAAATGCATGATATGCTTTTTCCCCTTCTCAATTACCCATAAGTAAAAACAGTGTTCTATGTTACATTCATTACTGGTTATATTACAGATTACATACACTCATAGCGGTATGAGTGTAAGATGAAGGCAATTCAGTGGTCCTCTGGATTTCCTTCTAGTGAATAATACATCCATTGTTGCTTGAATATGCATTATCCTGAAGTATTCATAGAGTCCTGCAAGCTGAGAGCTTCACTGAAGTAAACCAGAGGTTTCCAGTTGTTTAATATTGGGAACATCCCACAACACAAGCAGCTTTGGATAGTACATCAGCTTAAATGATCCTTACAGTTTTAATTCAATTCAGCTAATTTTCTCTGAAACAAAGACTCCTTTACACTGCCAGAACAATGACATGGGCCTTTATGTCAGCATGAATCCAGCCCAACTACATCACTGGCCAAGAAAAGGCTATTGTTCTCACCTTTCTTCTTGTATCTAGTATTTCAGCAGGTTTTTTCTCAAGCCCTAAGTCTGACATCATCCATATGTTGTATCTGTGTGGAACAGTCTTTGCAATATGTTGGAAAATTATTTCTCTTATTTGAACTTGCTCTGGTAATTTTGAATCTGGGGACATAGACTAGTGTGTGATACTGTCACTAAAACCCAAAGTGATTAGAAACACTAAAAATCCAGAAGGCTGCCTCCTTTCATTTGTTGACATTTTACTACAAAATGCATCATTAACCAAACTTGTTTAAGAATTTTAGCACAAAACAGAATTTGGCTTTTAACTCATCTGCTTTGTTGAGAGTGTCATAATGTGATAGAAATCTAAATACCAGATTCAGGAAACATTCAAATGGTTGAGACATCATGAAATTCACTTCAGAATCAAAATCAAGTTCAAAACTGTGGAAATAAGAGTTGGGAAATGTTTCTGGATCTTTCTGAACAGCTCTGAATTTGCTTTAGTTTTGTGATTCACTTTTCTAGGGAGAAAAAAGTTACTAAAGTTTCAGATTTTTCCCACATTTTGAAAATTCATGGCTTTGCATATCAAAGTAGTAGTTAATTCCTATAGGTTTATAATCACTTGTCAAAATAATCTTTGTCACCTTTCTTCTCCATAAAAGTTTCCTAAGAAATACAGTATTTAAACAGGAAAATTCATTGCTACTTACAGAAGGTTAGAAGCAGGATATCCTACTTTACTGCTTCTTGGTAAAAACACAAAACAACA